GTCCATCAAAAAGCATGAGGTGGCTACTGCTTCTATGTATGATTGGAAGACCAAATGGATAGCCTATATCGTCTTCGAACGGTGTGGTACCTACTGCCACTATGCGAGAGAGGAGAATAAAGTGGTTCACCAAAATTGTATTTACAGGGTGTGATTCAATGATATATACGATATTGAGTAATCTATATTGAAATATTTCTGAGAGATAGACCACCAAAAAGCATGTGGTTGCTACTGCTTCTATATGTGATAGGAGGGCCAAATGGATAGCCTATGTCGTTTTTGAACGGTGTGAGTCGACGAATTGTGACATTTTCGGGAACCTATCAAGAAGCGTTTCTGAACGATGGACCACCAAATACTCGAGGTACCTACTGCCACTATGCGTGAAAGGAGAATAAAGTGGACGACCAAAATTGAATTTACAGGGTGTGATACAATGATTTATACCATTTTGGGTAATCTATTTTGAAGTATTTCTAAGAGGAGATAGTCCACCAAATAGCATGAAGTAGCTACTACTTCCATAAATGACAGGAGGACCAATTGGATAGCCTATATCGTCTTTGAACGGTGTGAGACGACGATTTGTGACATTTTCAGGAATCTATAATAAAGCGTTTCTGAACGATCGAGGTACTGCCTCCATGCGAAAATGGAGAATAAAGTGGACGGCCAAAATTGAATTTACAGGGTGTGATACAATGATCTATACCATTTGGGGTAATCTATATTGAAGTATTTCTGAGAGGACATAGTCCACCAAAGAGCATGAAGTGGCTACTGCTTCCATAACTGACAGGAGGACCAAATAGATAGCCTATATCGTCATTGAACGGTGTGAGACGTCGATTTGTGACATTTTCAGGAACCTATAATGAAGCATTTCAGAACGATCGTCCACCAAAGTACTCGAGGTACGTACTGCGTCTATGCGATAAAGGAGAATAAAATAGACTGCCAGAATCGTCTTCACGAGGTGTGATACGAGGATTTATGTCATTTTCAGGAACCTACATTGAAGTATTTCTAAGAGGAGATAGTCCACCAAAAAGCATGAAGTAGCTACTACTTTCATAAATGACAGGAGGACCAAATGGATAGCCTATATCGTCTTTGAACGGAGTGAGACGACGATTTGTGACATTTTCAGGAACCGATAATAAAGCGTTTCTGAACGATCGTCCACCAAAGTTCTCGAGGTACGTATTGCCTCTATGCGATAAAGGAGAATAAAATGGATCACGCAAATTGAATTTACAGGGTGTGACTTTATGATTTATACGATATTGAGTAATCTATATTGAAGTATTCCTGAGAGATATACCACCAAAGAGCATGTGGTTGCTACTGCTTCTATATATGATAGGAGGACCAAATGGATAGCCTATATCGTCTTTGAACGGTGTGGGACGTCGATTTGTGACATTTTCGGCAACCTATCATGTAGCGTTTCCGAACGATCGTCCATCAAAATACTCGAGGTACAAAATGCCTCTATGCGATAAAAAAGAATAAAGCGGACGACCAAACTTGAATTTATAGGGTGTGATACAATGATTTATACCATTTTGGGTAATCTATATTGAAGTATTTCTGAGAGGAGATGGCTACTGCTTCTATATATGATAGGAACACCAAATGGATAGCCTATATCGTATTTGAACGGTGTGAGACGACTATATGTGACATTTTAAGGAAACTATCAAGAAGAGCTTCTGAACGATGGTCCACCAAAATACTCGAGGTACCTACTGCCACTATGCGAGAAAGGAGAATATAGTGGATGAACAAGATTGAATTTACAGGGTGTGATACAATGATTTATACCGTCTTAGGTAATCCGTATTAAAGTATTTCTGAGAGGAGATAGTCCACCGAAAAGAATGAGGTGTCTACTGCCTTCATATATGATCGGAGGGCTAAATGGCTAGCCTAGATAGTCTTTGAACGGTGTGAGACGACGATTTATGACATTTTCAGGAACCCATCCTGAAGTGTTTCTGACCGATCGTCCACCAAAATACTCGAGGTACTGCATCTATGCGAGAAAGGAGAATAAAGTGGACGACCAAACATGAACTTATAGGGTGTGATAAAATAATTTATATCATTTTGGGTAATCTATATTGAAGTATTTCTGAGAGATAGTCGACCATAAAGCATGAGGTGGCTACTGCTTCTGTATTTGAAAGGAAGACCAAATGGATAGCCTAAATCGTCTCTGAGCGGTGTGAGACGAGGATTTGCGACATTTTCAGGAACCTATCCTAAAGTGTTTCTGAACGATCGTCCACCAAAGTACTGGAGGTATCTACTGCCTCTATGTGAGAGAGGAGAATAACGTGGACAACAAACTTGAATTTATAGGGTGTGATAAAATAATTAATATCATTTTGGGTATTAAAGTATTTCTGAGAGGAGATAGTCCACCGAAAAGAATGAGGTGTCTACTGCCTTCATATATGATCGGAGGAAATGGATAGCCTAGATCGTCTTTGAACGGTGTGAGACGACGATTTATGACATTTTCAGGAACCCATCCTGAAGTGTTTCTGACCGATCGTCCACCAAAATATTCGAGGTACTGCATCTATGCGAGAAAGGAGAATAAAGTGGACGACCAAACTTGAACTTATAGGGTGTGATAAAATAATTCATATTATTTTGCGTAATCTATATTGAAGTATATCTGAGAGATAGTCGACCATAAAGCATGAGGTGGCTACTGCTTCTGTATTTGCAAGGAAGACCAAATGGACAGTCTAAATCGTCTTTGAGCGGTGTGAGACGTCGATTTGTGACATATTTAGGGCCTATCATGAAGCACTACGGAACGATCGTCCACAAAAATGCTCGAGGTACCTACTACCTCTATGCGAGAAAGGAGGATAAAGTAGATGACCAAAATTGAATTTGCAGGAGTGGAGTAAGATAACCGATTCTAGCACAGAGGGGTAGGTAAGTGACGAAACGTGTAACTGTTAAATGGTTGCTATTAAACGGTTGCTGTTACTGGTCACATGATGTTATTTGCTCTTGACGATGTCAGTGAGTGTAAACATTAATACGTATATTGGTTGTATTTATACTACAAAGAATGCGGTTTTTAATAGAAGTTATTTGGTTGTGAGAGGGAAAGAAGTAGGAATACGTTAGGAGGAGGGAGAAGGTGGTTGAGTTGGACAGTTAAATGTTATGTCGACAATTAAATGAAATGTTGTTAAGGTTAACGATTCTTTATTTTGAAATAAATAAACTATATGAGTGCTACAATCAAAATATCGAATAATAAAATTACATTATTAGTGCTTACAACTTGTAGAAATAGGAAAGAGTCGGTGATGTAACCATTTGATACAGAGCCCTCTCTGTTTTCAGCCTCATGAAGGTGAATCCATCGGCTTTCAACGTATTTTCGAGACTGTCCATCTTTTTCAATGAATGCAAGTTTTACAGAGTGCAGGTTTTCCACGTTTTCAATGGTATAAACATTTGTACCATTCACATTTTTTAAAATAACAGATCCCCAATTTTTCATCCATGCACAAGGCACATCAATATCTTTATTAAAATTTTTACAAACATAGGCTTGATCACCAATTGTATTATCAGGTCGTGAAATGTAGAGGGTGTTGTTATATAAATATGTTAAAATCAGCAACGACGATACACTGATCATGATTGGTTTTTCCATTACAACTAAGATGATGAATACGAAGAACGTGTTCTTATTGCACTGCCCCTCCAGAGAGACTTGTTTTAGTGGAAGGGGTTTTAGGTACATAAGTTACGCGAATGAGTGAAGGAGCAGTAGAAGTTTAGAAGAGTTGAGTGTGTAAGTTAGTAAACATGGAAAGCTTTATCGAAAAGTTTAATAGTGTGCGGGTGGGTTATGAAGAAAAAGAAATACGTTCTCTAACATCATTGGAAGTGAATCAAACGTATCCCGTACAACGCTTCAAAAAGGTTCACACAAAATGGGGTCCTCGTCTGTTAGCTGATTTGTACAGCTTTGTTATATTTCTTTCCTGCAGACATGCAGAAGCTTTTACGGATGCAGAAATCGAGGATATAAACGATAAAATAGATAAAAAAGTGGGTCATCCATCAATTCGACTCAAAGGATTTGTCGGAAAAGCAGTTGATATAGAAATACAAATGTAAAATATATAGCGTTATGTAAGAGAATAAAAAATCTATATTTTATTTTAATGTGTTTTATTTGTTTAAATGATTTTATGAGTGTAAAGACAACCAATATTTTAATAAAAGAACATTTTTGTAAGCACAAGTTGGTTCTATAGCTGTTTTAAATATATGATAAGAACACACGTTTACTTTAAAATCAGCTGCTAGACTTAAGAGAGATGGACATTCGATGTCTTCAATGTTAACAAAGTTAACATTAGGAAAGTATTCCAATAACCACATTTTCTTTTGTAATCCCTTAACATATACAATTGTTGACTCCATCAATATAGGATGAATACTATCATAAATCGTAGAGTATGGAACATCACCGTCATCCCAATATAACCCATGAAAATTTCTGGTTAACCAACGATTTTGACTTCTGTAACGAACTGGGAGGGCGTCCCAGGGAAATGGTGGCTGAAATGTGAAATGATAAATTGGTTCTTCTTTTAGCGCAACAATAGCTACTTCCTTGAAAACAAATCGATTCTCACAACATTGAAAACCTTGTACATCTAGTATGAAAGTCATCGTGCTCACTGTTCAGTACCGGTAAAGAAAGTGAAGTATGGATGTAGTCATTGGGTTTTATACTTCTTGAACCAAGTTTGTAGAGGGATTGTAACGTATCACACGATCATGAATGATTAAACAGTAAGCTGCTGTTTTATCTGGTATATTGCGTTTAGTTTGAATTTCTAAACGAATATCGATACTTCCAGATTTCACAATTTCATTTTGATAAGAGCAGTCTACTATTACAAGAGGAGCAATTGTTCGAAATTCCTTAGGATCGAATAAGGGTTCACTTACATTACCATAATACGATTGTTGAAAATTAACATACATTTCGTACAAAACAGCAAATCTGGAAAGATCAAAATCTAAATTCAAATTATCATACGGGTACATAGTGGATCCTAAGTGAACTTTAAAATTTGTTAGGTTGCAGTGATCGAAAACACTCTTATTTTTTGTAATATCATTACCTTTATCGGTTTGAAAACCGAAAATAATGAAGCGAGGTTTTTCCAACTGTGATGTAGTTTTCACAGCCCAGTTGTGAGAATATGATTGGTTAAGTAAGGGATATTCATGTAGTTCCCAACTACGAAAAGAAAGTTCCATATTTAAATTGCGATCAACGTAACGTAATAATTTCAAACGTTCAGCGTCAGCAACAGATACATGAGGAATTTTCCAACATATCTGATCCAAATGGACATCAACCTCTTCAGCCGGTGTTGCTGAGCAAAAGAGGGCATTATTGTCAGTACTGCTGCGAACTAGAACTAATTCTTGTCGTATGTTGAGTATTATTTTTCGAAAGTCTTCTCCAAACCCTAAAATCATACGAAGAGGAATACAAACGTTGAAGTAACCGTTTGTATCAATCAGATTTCTGGTATGAAGGGCAACTCCTTTTACAGCACCTAAAGCAGGAGGCAACCATCCACTATTAATGAGACGTTTACTTTCATTTTCATTGTAAGACGCATAGCCTTTCATTGTTGTAGTCATACCAGGATTTCGGACTCGATCAATAACTTTTCCTCCCAATTCATATCGAATTTCATCAAATAGGTATAGAATTCCGTTATTGATAAAAGTAGTATTAGTTGGTACAGTTCCATCCTTTTTCAGTAAACGTCCTTCTATGTATAGGAAACTACCGCAAGGTAAGGTGTAAACATCTTCATTTTCTATTGGAATGCGTATGGTATCATTATTTTTAAAAGTTGAATTAGCATAGGGTTGATGAGTATGTTTATCAGCGTTAATAATAGCGTTGTCGAAGACTGCTTTCTCGGTGACATTTAGTATTTCTGCAACCATTTTAACTTTTCACCTTTTTCAATCGCAACCCCAAAGATTTAAGGAACTGTTTATTAGACGGTGTTAATCGCTGAACGGGTGTAAGCGAAATAAACGTCTCAGAGTGTGGTGATCGTTTTATAGTAGTATTTTTGTTGGAATAACGTTGGACACAGTTGTATCGCGCAACCATGTTATAGTTTTCGTAAGTGAAGTCTTACTGTAACACGCTCTCCACGGAAATTAACAAGATTACCGTCTTGATCAACTATTTTAAGGGAAATGTAATCGATGACACGTGTGTTGATAGATAAATATATAAGACTTGTGGGATTCTCTACAATTTTAAATCCGGGAGGTACATTTGGAAAGAATTGATGTAATATATGTCCATCTTGTCCTTTAGTAGCATCATTAGTATGTATATAGGAGTTAGATACAAGGTTACATGTTACTGAAATTGCGTTTACCTTGAAAATGTCAGCTACATGATCGGACTCCTCTTGAAGCGATGATAGAAGTTTATTTTCAAAACCCAATATCTTCGCCGGAGAATCTGTTGGAGTAAAGTCAACATTTTTGGTACTCTTTATACGACTTTTTAATGTAGTATTGTCTCCAGACAAGTGAATGCTATCATTAGTATCTCCCAATTTCTCCTGAAGAAAATTATTAATATCATCAATTTCATATGATCCTTCCGGAAGAACTACGACTGGTTTCTTAGAATCTTCAAAATAAAATTTGTTGTTATTTTCATCAATATTGGGAATGCTGTTGTAGGCTTCAAAATTTAATAATGCTATTTGATATTCATCATCATCGCTTAAAACAATCGGTGGACTTATTATCATTAGTAGCTCCGACGTTGTAGCAGTCAAGGCGAATGTGTAAGACATGTTTTCGGTTTAACGTTCTGTTTAATACAGAGAAGAAATTTTAATGGTTTGTATTAAAAAAGGATTTACGTAATCTTCTGCAGGAATTGGAGAACTAAATGACCACAGTTAAAATCGGTGGGGTTCTGAACACGATTGTAGTTATAAGTGATATCGCAAGGTCCAGCAGATTGTAAATATTGAACCAATTCTTTAGGCGGACGGAGATTACCAAAACTGTCAAAGTAAATAGCTTTGCTGTTTCGTTTTACATACGCTGTCCAATGTGTACCAGTTCCGGTATCTAAATTAACAATTCCACTTTCATATCTTTTAACTTTTCTTGGTAATTCGTTACGCATGAAGATTCCACGAAAATGTGGAATTTGTAAATAGCGAATGTAATTGTGTAAATCTGAATCTGTTAGAGGATGATTAGGCAATTTCAGGAAAAAATTTGTGTTTTTTTTTGTTGAAACGGTTTAAGGTATAAACCGAAACCTTTACGGGAAGGTTGTATGGAAATATTTTTCCCAAGAGCAATGGCTTCCATTGAAGTGTTATGACGTTTAGCTTCTTCTAGTTGTTGCTGCGCTGATTTAGCATCTTGTACAGCTTTAGCAATTCCAGCAGCACCACCAGAAAGAGCTCCAAGTGCCGATAGTCCCGCAAAAATCGGAATTAACGGTAAAAAACCACCTGTCTTTGGAATGGGGATGATTCTAGGAAATTTAGATCGTTTTCCAAGTTTTCGAATTTGATTCAGTGCAATTTTAGCAGCCTCTAATAACTGTAAGGGTTTATTTTTCTTAAGAACAAGTTTCGCAGTTGTTACTAATTTGCGAAACGGTAGAACTCCTCCTTTTTTTATTCGTTTTCTCTTATTCATTCTAGTCAACGGAATCGAACCACCTTTTTTACTACGACGTAGTCGTCGTCGTTTGTGCCCCATTCCAAGTTTCTCCTTAGTCTTCATAGCCGAAGCAATTGCGAGAGCTGCAAAGCGTTCACCTATAGATGCGTCTGATGACTTTAGTCTTCGTAAAGATTGATGCGCTAAAACCTTGTCCGCTATTCGACGTTGTGAAATGTCTGGTGAAATTGCGTATACAATATCGTGCAATTTACAATATTCGTCGAGAGGATTTATACCGATATCACCTCTCGCTAATCGTTTGTTTAATCGTGTCCCTGGACCACAAAAATTATAACCTGGGAGGTGTATTTCAATGGGTAACTTATCTATAATACTATTCAGAACGCCGCGTTTCATGTATTAGGTTTGGTGTGAGTGCTTTCACTATTGCGAACCAACTGACTATATAAGCAACGTTAACTCTAAATTTATATATCCGTTAACACAGCAAAATCGTTTAATAATGAAGAAACATGCGGATAGTACAACATCCATCTGCTCTACCGATAACCAATCGCGACTTCAACATTGCTGCGAAAATAAATCGTCATGGGCCTTTATTACCATCAACAATAAGATGCATCGTCGCTGGACCTTCAAACTGTGGAAAAACAAATGTGATTATAGGACTTTTGGAGCAACCAAACGGTTTACGGTTTGAAAACGTTTATGTTTATTCAAAGTCGCTATATCAACCAAAATATAAATATTTAAATGAATTATTACAACCAATTGCTGGAATTGGTTATTTTCCCTTTAGAAATTCTGATGAAGTAATAGGTCCTTCACAGGCGAAACCTAATTCTGTATTCATCTTTGATGATGTTGCGAATGACAATCAGAGTAAGATAAGAGAATATTTTAGTATGGGAAGGCATAACTCAATCGATACTTTTTATTTAAATCAAACATATGCTCAGATACCTAAACATTTAATCAGAGATAATGCTAATTTAATAATACTGTTTAAACAAGACGAATTAAATCTGAAACACGTTTTTTCCGACCATGTTACTGCAGATATGACTTTTGACCAATTTAAAAGTATATGTGGAGAATGTTGGAAAGAAAAATTTGGATTTGTAGTTATTAACAAGGATTGTGGTATAAATGACGGGAGATATCGCATAGGATTCGATAAATATATATTACTGTAGGTAATATAAATGAAACCACTTGTTAAAAGACAACCATAACAACAGCATGGATGTGAAAGCAAAGAAAGAACTAATCAAAGTTAGGAAAGCAGTAAAGAGGAAACTGCAAATGTTAAAGGAATCGATGGTAGGACAGAATCTTCTATTGCAACAAGCTTATCAACCAATTACAAAATCGCTTCTTCACTTGAAATCTGAGTTGGGTGAAGAGATCAAAAAGGAATTAAAACCAGAGGTTGTTAATTGGTCGAAAGTTGATATTCCAGCATCATCAACTCCAATAAAAATTAGAAAACTTGATCCTTCGAATGCTCCAGCTACCATACTTCAAGGTCCTCCTTCCTTCTTAAGGGAAGAAAGTGTATATGAAGTTGACCCAAGAAGGGATGACAGTGAGTTCGAACAATTAAAAAAAGCATATATAGATTATATCAATAGCTCTCGATTTGGAGAATATTTGGAGGAATTCGATCCTCTACCTCGTGACTATATAGAAGGAATTATTAAAGACTATGAAGGTGATAGATTTAACACTGACGTTGTGAATCCCCGTCTTGACAAAGTTCGATACGAATGGGACACAAATAAATTTTTTATCGGTGATTCTGAAATAGATTTTGATGGATCAGACGTCGTAATCGATGGAAAATTTAAATACACAGGTACTGTGGGATTATACGAGCAACTGTTTAAATTAAGTTCTGAATATCCGACATCAATTAAAGAACGGAGAGACTATGCGGATATATTAAAACGTACGGGAGCAGTATACAATTTAAGGCAGCAAACAACGAAGCCTTCTAAAGGTGGAGGCTTATCGTTGTTGACTTACAACGAAAAACCGATAGAATACAAATATTTTGATGATGTTAATGAATTGTGTGATCGTTTAAAGTTATTGGTTGCTTCTCAACAAGCAGGCAACACAAATCATGAAAACGAAATGCAATCAATTTTAGAAGAGTTGCGGGAGTCTAATATAATCGAATAAACGATTTGTGGGGGTGGTTAGTTAGATAATGGCGATCGATAAGTTCGGACGTGCGTTAGAAAAAAAACGATCATATTCGCGAGCATTTAGCAATGTTCACGATTTTAATCATAACCGCTTAACAAGAATCGGGGACCCTCAGCAGGAGCATGATGCTGTTAATGTACGATTTTTGGAGAAGAAGCTGAAACTTCTTTTATCTCAAGATGATATAGTGAATATTAGGAAGGCATTCGACAAAGTATTATATTTTGTTGACGTGGGTAATAAACGTATTATACACTTGAATGAGCCTACAGCTGGCTTTCATGCAGCTACAAAAAAATATGTAGACGAAAAGGATAGGTTAACAAAAGAACATATCAGAATAGAATGTGAAAGAGTAAAGGATAACGCTGTCAGTGAAGGAGATAGAAAGATGAAGGATTTACGAGAAGAATTAAAAACACTTGTCTCCAAAAGTAATCAAAAGATGATGAAAACATTTAATGATAAAATGGATATATTAATTAAAAATATGGGAAGAGAAATTGAAAATTATAATAATGATAGAGATAAGCAAATAACAAAAATGGTTAATGATGTGATAGAAAAGAATGGCGTCATAATCATGGACACCCTTTCAGCAAAAATTACATCGGAGTGTAAAAATGTAGAAACATTTGCTAGAAAAGGTGACGAAGAATTGTCGAAGAAACTAAAGAGCGACATTGTGACAAACATGAAAAGAGATATAGATGTGAGTGTCGAATTAATAAAGACATTGATTAAAGATGAGTGCAAGAAAGTTATGGAATTTGCAGAGAAAGAAATTAAAGTAAGCAATAAAAAGAAAGAAGACATGGAAAAGGAGTTAGTGAAAATGGTGGAGTCATTAAAAAAAGAAGCAAACGATCTTAAGGTAAGATTGGATACTTTAGAACAAACAGCAACTGGAAGTACAAAATCGAGCAGCTCTAAACAAACAGAGGCATCGTCTGTTTAGTTGTCGTCAACAGAAAGGAATGTCTGACGTTAAACAGGAAGTTGTGAAAGAACTGCATAAACCTGCAAGGATTAATTTCTCGCGTCGTAAGGTAGTTGTTAAAGGATTGGATGATTTACATCAAGCCCATTTAGTTGAAATGATTTCGTATGCGAGATAAAATAAAGGTTTTCGATATATTTTAGTTATAATAGACGTTTTCTCAAAAGTTGTATGGGCTCAAGCAGTAAAACGGAAAACAGGTGAATATGTGGGAAGAGCTTTACAGTTAATTTTCAAAAGAAATAAACGTATTCTTAAGAATATGCAAACTGACCTAGGAAAAGAATTTTATAACGAACATGTGAAAAAAATAATGCAGAAATATAAAATTAACCATTATTCAACGTATAGCACAAAGAAAGCATCAGTTGTGGAACGGGTAAATAGAACGCTAAAATCAAAAATGTGGCAGCGCTTCAGTTTACAAGGATCCTACAAATGGTTGAATATATTACAAGATATAGTAAGTGAATACAACAATAAGATTCACAGAACCATCGGAATGAAACCAAGCAAAGTCAATAGACGAAATGAAGAAACACTTTTGAAAAGTATTTACAACAATCCGAAAAAGGTGGATTTACGAAGAATTCAGTTTAAAGTGGGGGACCGGGTACGAATAAGTAAATATCGTGAATCGTTTAGCAAAGGTTATACACCGAATTGGTCCAACGAACTATTTACAATAAGCCGTATAAAATTGTCTGATCCGATCATGTACTACTTAAAGGACGATAAAGGGGAAGACATAAAAGGAGGATTTTATGGTATGGAATTACAGAAAGCTGCATATCCAGACGTTTTTTTGGTGGAGCGAGTATTAAGACGTAAAGGTGATATGGTTTACGTGAAATGGTTAGGACTCGACCAATCTCACAATAGCTGGATCCATAAAAAAAACGCTTTGTGATGTAGTCATAGATTTTTATATTAATAAATGGTANACTTTCAAAATGAAGGAATCGGTATCCATGTACATCAAGGAAATGTTGTGTTGATATTTTCGTTTAAGAAAGGTGTAGTAGAAGTCGTACATAACAACTTTTGATAAATCTAAGATAGTAAAACCAACGTAGAGAGGTTTATCGTAAATAATACGTAATTTATTCATCTGAATGGCTACGAAATTGGGAGTGAATATCTTAGAATTTTTGAAATTAGGTTTAGCTATTAAACTTTCCGCACCAAGAAAGCGTCCAGAATTTTGCCAATGAGTGACTAATTTTACATCAACTCGTTTATCAACGTTCTCCATTGTTTTTCCGAAAACACTATTATTCATTAATTTGAAGAAGGATTTCCCAAATTTATTTTCAGACAAATTACGTTGTCGAGTGTTTAAATCGATGAAAGGTTTAAGCCAGTGGGACTGTTTAAACTGGATAACTCTGTGAACTTTAAGTAATCGTAGTCCATTACGAAGGGCTTGTTGAAGCGTAAGATAATGAAGAACATATTTTGTCTTATTCATAAGGTTTGGTATCAGTTTTTTGACTTTACCATTCACATTAGCAGGAGAGATAATGTTTTCAACTAAAAAAGGGAGATCAGCATGTGAATCATGGAGGTGTTGGATATTCAACATCTTTCAAATACGTAACCGTATTCAGAAGAAGCATGTAAAGAGAGAACGTTCAATTCATCAATTTCGGCTTGGGTTAGCCAACGGAAGTGGGAAATAGGAAGTGCTTGACTCATACTATGTCCATACAAATTAGTAGCATCCAAATACATAATGTAGGAGGTAGGCACGCGGACGCGTTGTAATCGGGGATGTGAGGGTTGTTAGCGAAGTGCATTCTTTGAACGCATTGACTTATTCCTCCACGTACCCCTTTTTGAAAAAATTTTAACATATCGATATCAGTCAGAAGTTGTAAACTAACGCGAGTGAATTTTAACATACTATCCCACGCAAGCCCTGGAGCTGTGTAATACTGAGCAGGATCTAAGTCGTAAGTGGTGAGACATATTTGTCGGAAATTCTCGAAAACATGAGCTAGCAAAAGAACATCTGTTTTCAAGTAGATGTCGGAGTATTCTCCTAGAGTTGAACATTGAAAGGTTTTCCAAACAGTTTTAGCTCTTTCTCTAATCATCATCGGAAACGGGGAGGGAAGTCAATTTATCGAAGAAATCGTCTTTCTGTGGAAATATTGTTTCATCAAGCTTAGCAACATCATCAACATAGGAATAAGGGAAAACACCTTTCCGTCGCACAAGTTGAAAGTGATTGGGATCGGAAAATAATTTTTTCACTTGCAAACATTGATGAGCATCAAGTTCATCCGACAGCTTGTCGAAGAAGGAAGCCACGAAACGAAAAAAATCGAGAAATCTAATCTTCACGAACACATTTTGTGTTGAGTCGTCTGTTTCAGTTTGAACCGTATCAACTCGTAATAATTTGGAAAAGGATATGTATTTTTCTTTATTTTGAGCTATTACGGTAAATTTAACATCGTTCACAGCCATTTCCTTTAGAAACAAGTGGCAATCATATCCGGAGAGGTTGTGGAAAAAAACAGGTACAAAGTTGGGTAGTTTGTAATTTAAATTACATCTGGAGTGAGCAGCTCCTAATCGAACTTTACCGGTCAAATGACAATGATCATGCACCTTGACGTCATCGTCCAGAAAGGGTTCTTCGCAAATATTGCAAGAGGTAGCGTCAGAGAAGAGACGTATTTCTTCATCTGTCAGGGGTATCATGGGAGAAACGATCTTCAAATATCGATGATAAATATCATAAACATCTCGATCGAGAGTTGTAACGAATTGATTGGCNTTTATGTGCATATCAAACAAGCAACGTCAACATACAGTTTGTGGAAGATTTTGAAAAATATGTTTGACGATTCTGGATACGCAAGAAAAATAAGTTTATTGAGAAACCTCATCAGTATACGCCTAGATAACTGCGAGTCAATGACCAGCTATGTCAGCCAGATCATCGATACAGCTCAGAAATTAAGCGGCACCGGCTTCGAGATTAATGACCAGTGGATTGGGTCACTTATGTTAGCTGGACTACCGGAGAAATATGGACCGATGATAATGGCAATCGAGCATTCGGGCATAATCATCAGTGCGGACGCTATAAAAACTAAGTTATTAGACATGAGTGCAGATTTTGAGGTTAAGTCGGAAGGTGCATTTGCCGCCAGAAATTTTCACAGACGGAATGTTGGCAGTATTGCAAAAACGCAAGTTCAACATGGCTATACCGGAATGAACGGAACGTCATCGTCTGTCAACAATTGTCAAAACAATATGGCGCAGAGGAAAAAGATAATTCGTTGTTATAAATGCAAACAGATTGGACATTTCAAAAACCATTGTCCGGGTGCAGAGAAAATAACTACGAACGCATTTAGTGCAGTTTTTCTAACAAAGGAATTTAGTCAATCAGACTGGCACCTAGACTCCGGCGCAAGCACGCATATAGTGTCGAATGTGAACTTATTATCAAATGTTTGTAAACAACCCAAGACTAAGGATATAATTGTTGCGAATCAGACGGTCGTGCCAGTTCTGTGCTCCGGAGACCTGCAATTGACAACATGTGTTGGAGACAGAGAATATACAATTGATGTAAACAATGTTTTGTGTGTTCCCAAAGTCACCACTAACTTACTCTCGGTGAGCAGAATAATTGCAAGCGGCAACAAAGTGGTATTCAACCAGCATGGATGTTTGATCTACAACTCACAGAATGATTGTATTGGCAAGGCACTCTTAAAAAATGGGGTGTACCGTTTGATTGTTAGAAAGATGCAACAACCCTTAGCAGCAGCAGTGAAGTGTTCGAGTACTACTTGGCATCGGCGGCTAGGCCATATCAACACAAATGATTTAAATAAATTGAAAAATGGAGCGGCAGAAGGTGTATTATTTGATGACAAAAGTGAAGATAGTAAAAGTTCCTGTATTGTTTGCTGTGAAGGAAAGCAGACAAGACTACCATTTCCTAGAAGCACAACCAGAAGTGAACATGCCCTAGAACTGGTTCACACCGATTTATGTGGGCCAATGGAGAACCTATCTCTAGGTAAGGCGAAATACTATCTTTTGTTTGTTGATGATTTTAGCCGATTGTGCACAGTTTACTTTCTCAAATCCAAGAGTGAAACATTTGCATATTTTAAACAATATAAAGAGCTTGTTGAAAATCAGCAGTCAAAGAAAATTAAGATATTGAGATCTGACAATGGTGGAGAATTTTGTTCTACTGAAATTACCAATTTTCTAAGAAAGTGTGGCATTATTCATCAAAAAACGAATAGTTACACACCAGAACAAAATGGATTGTGCGAACGATATAAAGATCCATTGTTGAGAAAGC